CTTTTCAGTCCCCCATGTCAGAATTGCTTCTTCCTCTGAGCTCCTAGTTCTTTTTATACATAAAAGAACTTTAATTTTTGCTACATAATATTAGAGTCTTCTAGTCTATGAGCTCTTTGAAAACAAAAACCAGGTCACATTCACTGTATATTTTAGCACTTAGCACAATGTCAGGCACACAGAAGATATTCAATAAATATTTGCAAATAAATGATGAATTTACAATTTCATTCTCCAATTAATCAAATAATATCTTGCTAACTTATTTCATTTAGCCTTGGCATTTTCAAAGAGGAAGGCAAGAAATGTCTATAAAACAATTCAATGGATTCTGGATTTGACCAAATTAAATAAACTTAGTGGTTTTGCTTAATATTGTACTGTATTTCAAATTTTAAGTACTGCATGGTATTTCAATTTTTAAGTTCCACTGCAGCATGTAAAATAAAAAATTGGAATCTATCTACATGTCCAGCAACAAAAGACATATATGATTTTAACACTTTTACAGAGAAATATTTAAATTATAACCTATAAAGCTTGCATTTGTTCTGTGTCTAAAACTATTACTTCTTTCTTTTATGTATTTACTTGATATTCATTTTTAGCATAATCCCCATATCTAGATGGTAGAGTTCATTTTTACTCATTTACTAAAGTTTTTTTCCCCCTTGGGTACAGTGAGTGAACACATTTTTAAAAAAGAACTATAATTTCACACATATTATAGTTCATTAAATGGATATCAGCCTGTCTGCATATATACAACCAGTATATACATGGGTCACACTGTAGTTCATACAGCACAGGAGTGAAGAGTCCTGGCTTTGGGCACTGGCTCTGCCCACAGTTATTAGCTGTGTAATACCGTGGAAACCTATCTGTGCCTGTTTCCTCATCTATTAAGTGGGGATAACAGTATTTACCTCCTGGGGTTATTGTGAGAGGTATATTAGTTCAGACACATGAAGTACCTAGGACAGTATCTGGTCCATACTAAGTGCTCAATAATGATTATGATTACAAAGCTTCAGGGAGTAAAACTGGTTCAGTCTTGCTTTGCCTAACTGCTGTTTCTAAAAAAAATGCCCTCCCTCTGTAAGTTTGCTTCATTTCTAGAACCCAGAAACTAATCAGTGGTGCTCTTTAACAATGAAACAAGCTCCCTCGTGAGCCGCATTGCGGTTACTCCACGGAGGCTGGGAAGTGATTTGCTCCAAGCGCTGATTTCTGCACTGTTGAGAGGCTGAAACAGAGCTCTCAAAGGTCCCAATTTAATAACTGATCACCCGAATCATTCTGAGGTTCCTTTCCAGCTCCAAAATGCAATGGCTATTTACCCAGTTACCGCGGGCAGGGCAAAGCAGCAGCCCTGCCAGGACCCTGCTGGGACACTCTCGATGGAGGTGGAAATGAATACTTCCACTGAAAAACAGAAATCTTTAATTTCCTCCTGTGTTCTTTCTGAATAGTGAATTTCCATAGCAGTAAACCGAGTTTGGTGACTCAAGGCTCTCGGCAATTCAAGAGGAAATTGTGAACTATCCGCCGAGAAAGTACTTCCAGTTTGCCAAAAGAGGGAGCCTGGGAGCAGAAAGCATATGTTCGTCCAAGTCTTTTAAAAAAACACTTGTTTGGATTCTGTGTTTTAGTTTTTGATTTCTTTTGCAAGGATGGGATGGGACTGAATGACAGTTACAGCCAACTTTTTCTTTTTTATATTGTCTTAAGACGGGAGAGTCAAAGATTGAAAGTATACAGATAACCGAATGATCTCTATCTTTCCTGGACAAAATGCTTACCTCATGCCTGGCTGCCATACGCTAAATGGCTCTAATTAAACTGTTTTCATTAAAAGGAAAGGGAGGAGGAGCTAAGCCAGTAGCTCCTTCTGGGTAGAGAAACAATTACATATTTAATAAAAGTGCAACTTTATTTTTTTTTAAAGATTTTATTTATTTATTTGAGAGAGAGAATGAGAGAGGGAGAGCACATGAGAGGAGGGAGGGTCCGAGGGAGAAGCAGACTCCCTGCTGAGCAGGGAGCCCGATGCAGGACTTGATCCTGGAACTCCAGGATCATGACCTGAGCCGAAGGCAGTCGCTTAACCAACTGAGCCACCCAGGCGCCCATAAAAGTGCAACTTTAAGAAAAGAATCTTCTGGCTGCCACAGATTGTTTAAAAAAGTATTCGTTGCATGCACAATTTAGATCTTACTTTCACTACAACAATGGTTGAATATATTGAAATAACCAGGTTTAATGGAAGTTAATCGTCAGGCTGCTTACTTACCCACTCCCTAGGGCTAAGCACTCCTTCCTGCCAAACAAGAGGAATGATGTAAGCGCCTAGAACCATTTGTAGAAACAAGCCTTTGATTCATGCTCATTAGTCACTAATGTAGGGTAAATGCCTGTGTATGACAAGGAGGTTTCTGTAAGATACACATCTCCATAGGAAATCATTTTTCAATACAAACTGGATTTTGCCGTTGTAAAGGCAGCTTTGGCAAGTTATCCATTTGTGCATATTTTCAAATTCAATTCAGAAGAATTCAGCAAATTTATACATTTTTAGTTGAGCAACATATTCAGTCTCTTCTTTTTACTCCAATTACCAAAAAGTGCTCTGTATCATCTTAGCCTAAAAAGTTAAGAAATAATCATACTTGGAAAATGCACAGAGCTTAAAATTTTCCAGAAAATTTATATATGTTATATAAACTAATAAGGCAGAATGATACATTTGGATTTGACAGTTTAATGAAATGGTTTCTTTTACTATTGCTGCCTATTGAACTAAAGCAAAATAACAGAAAGTATTAATCTAAAGAAGAAAGTTAAGTGTTCTGTAATCTCCTGAGATCTGGTTTGATTTCCACAAGCCTTTGAATAATGTTCTAAGACCCTTCTGGTACACTCTCTGGACCGGAAAAATACATGATCTTGGATTTAGATGTTAACAGACTTATAACAGAAAGGACATTATCCTATTATAAGATTGTTCTTAAAGGACAACCTTTAGAGTTGGATTATTTCCTGAACTAATATAGAAAGCAAGATAAGCAGTAGCCTTTTGAAATTTACAGTTTATACAGTCAGTCCCATGCAACAGTTGGCAACACCGAGTCCTAGGAGGAGCAAATCCATGAACGCAAAAGCAGATTTCACAGGCTACATTTTTCTTCTTTATTTGGGCCATCATGTGGAAGACAGATTATTTTCCAAAATGATTAAGTACTCTCATCAATTAGCCAGCTAGAGTATCAATCGTGAAGGAAAAATGTAATAAGCTCTCCTATAAGTATCAGGTGTCAAAACCGTCAGAGTTAGTCAAAGCTTTTTAATGTTCCAATCAAATCACAAAATGAGTGGAAAGTCACTGTATAAAACCCATTAAGATGCATTACTAAATGTCCAATGTTACATAAAAACTATAAATAACTTTGTACTTTTAGGGTTTTTTTTTTCAATTTGCTTTTCTTGAAGTAATAATGATGTTCTGCTTCAGTTAATAAAGTAATTCTGGAGCTGCCTAGTGTTTAATCCACATATTCCTTCTGTGTGGAATAAAGATGGCAAGCAATAATCAAATCAGAATTATAAGCATTCCTTGGAGTATCTGTTGTTAACAATTTTTAAAATTAAGAGAAGAGCACCAAGGATAGTGAAGGCTAAAAAAATTAATCACCAAGCTTAATAATCTTACAAGCTGACTTTCCTTAGGGGAATAAAATGCTGTTTCGTTTCTGTGATGGACATCTAGTCTTTCTCAAATATTTGCAAAGGAATTCATACTCTGGCTAAAGCAACATCACTTGCCACTGGCTTAAAAATAACAAGCCAGTAGCCAACACTGAACAAATACATCTACCTCAATGTTCAAAAACTGATTTATTGAATTAAGAAAGGTTTGTTTCCACACCGAAACACAGCCTTTCCTTGTTTAGTATCTGGTGGATCTAGCTGTTGATCTAAAGGCACAAATGAGAATTCTGGTAGCTGATACTTTCCCAAATAAGAGGCTAAAGTAAGCTAAGGACCAGATTGAAACCACATAATAATATTAAAATGCTTCTTTTTTTCCTTGAAATTTATTAAAAGAAATTTCTTTCCATACCTTCTTGGTAAGTTCTTTCTTGCTCTGATGGATCCCATCTTTTCTTGCAATAGCTCCTAGAGTCACCAAGGTTGGTAAGTTTATCTGATTACCAAGGAAAAAGCTTTCAAACAAAAAGTAAGAGTAGAACACACTTGGAAACAAAGAGATCCAAAGCCATAATCAAGTTTGCATGTTTTGTACAGGGTAGAAATAACTTTCTTCATTGAAATGTTCTTTGCTGCTCACTGCCATCCCCAGGATAGCTACAGAGAACTAACCCAAGATGGACATGCTAATAATTTGAAATCTGAGTTTTCAAATCTAAAGGGAAGACATTTTTTTAAAGATTTATTTATTTTAGAGAGAGAGAGAGAGAGAAAGCTAGAGCACAGCAGAGGGGCAGAGGGAGAGGAAGTCTCAAGAAGACTCTGCGATGAGCGTGGAGCCTGATGCGGGGCTCTATCTCAGGACCCTGAGATCATGACCTGACCAAGAGTCAGACACTTAACCGAATGCACCACCTAGGCACCCCTAAAGGAAGACATTTAAAAAAGTATAATGAAACTGAAATGAAGTAAAGGGTAGCATATGAATTTAGTATCTTTCTTTAAGGAAAAATCAAAGAAATCTTCAAGTACCCTGTCCAAATGAAGCAGAAATTAGAAGCACTTTGGACCCTAGAATTTCACTTGGAATCCTACTGTAGCTTTTTAGCATATGATAATTTCTATATTCTAGGACTACTTTTTTATATTTAAAATAAAAGTCCCCAAGACCTAAATACTATAATAGATTTTAGGTAAAAATAAGTAATAATCCTTAAATTTAATACAATACCATAACACAAATAGTTAAAGAATAACAATTTGACACAGCTACATAATTAAAAAAGTCATCATATGTGCACCAAGTTTTATTTGCCTTTAAATAATACAGACAGAACAAATATGTTATTCAAAATAGCAAATTTTCTTGAATTTTATAGAAGAAAGAGAAACTGAAGTGAAACTGTAGGAATTGCTGAACTTCAGATAAATGTTTCTTCAAAACAAGAGATATTAGTTCCTAAAAGATTCCTCTAAAGTTAAAAAAAGATTAGGAAGAACATTAAGCCATTGGGTTATTACATTTTTAAAAAACTACATGCTTTTTAATGGACATGTTTACATTTACAGAGAGTAAACTTAGCCGCCTGTCTCATAAAACTCCTAAGACACCACTGATCTCTAAACTAAGCAAAACAATAAAAGCCGTTTTTCATATTAAAAAGCTTCAAAACCTAAATCTACCTTAACATTATCTTCCAAGGAAACTTAATAGGAATGGTTAACCTGAAAGCAAAATGTTGTACAAATCACTTTCCAGAAAAAAATACATTATGGGATTAGGCTTACATCTAGTAGTATCAACTAAAATCCCGAACTTGAACGATGGCACATGGATTCAAAGTACCAGCCGGTCCTCCCCGCCCTCCTGAATTACCTGACCCATGGGAGTTTGGCTTTGTTGTTTCAGAAAGCACTGTTTCTTACATTCCATCAACTGTTCGAAATCACGCCACATTTTTGCTTGTTTCATATTTGGACCATGACTTTCTCGTACAGCTTTTTGTTTTTCTCGGAGTTTCTACCATAAAAAAAAAAAAATCAAGAATGATTAAATCTCAGTTGCAGGGATTTACTTCTTTTGCTATCATCAGAGGAACACGGTCTGCTTTTTGTACATCTGATGAATAACAGTTAACGAAACCAGGTTCTTCTGAGATGTATGAAAACTAAGATGATAAAAGTTAATTAAATTGATGATAGATGTAGGAAGCTTGAAGTTAAAAAGAATAGAAAAATATAAAAGAAAGGGAGGGGAAAAAATAAAGGGAATCAGGAAAATGGAACAGTATCATGGTGTGGAAAAAAGAATGCAGATTTTGGAAGTCAGAAGACTGGTTTCAAACTTGGCTTTGTCACTAGCTGTAAGTAAGACAATTTCTCTGGACCTCACTTCTCTCAATTGTCAATTAAGGCTAATACAAGGGGATAATTATAAAATTATCTGCCTTATGATTATTATTTTTAAAGATTTATTCGAGAGAGAGAACGTGAATGAGCGAGTGAGAGAGAGCATGAGTACGGGGGTAAGGCAGAGGGAGAAGCAGATTCCCTGCTGAGCACAGAGTCCGACTCAGGGCTTGATCCCAGGACCCCGGGATCATGACCTGAGCTGAAGGCAGTTGCTTAGTCGACTGAGCCACCCAGGCATCCCATAAGATTATTTTTTCACATGACATAATAGGTCTGGAAATACTTGATAAACTATCATATGTTATATATTATTATTATTATTAAATATTATATTCTTTCCTGAATCTGTGTGTGCTCTATGTGTGCCCAAATAAATCAAATTGTATGCATATATTCCTCAGGAAGAAGGTTTTCTGATTTTTTAAAAAGTACACTATTAAATAAGCCATATCCTTATCAGAATTGTTCTTATTTTTATTTTTATTTATTTTTAAGTAGGCTCCATGCCCAGTGTGGGGCTTGAACTCACAACCCTAAGATTCAGAGTCTCATGCTCTACCAACTAAGTCAGCCAGGTGCCCCCAGAATTGTTTTTGTGACTAATAGCCTATATGATTCCATCTGTCAAAACTGTTCTACTCATAGACTCTAAAATTATAAACAGGAATAAGAAAATGTTTCAATACATTGTAAAAGTATACTTTGGTTCTGTATTAGGGCAAATTCAGAAAGGGTGACTGAAAGGAGGCATAGCAGAAAGTCAGAGATAATGAGAGGAAGGAAGAGGGAAAGGAAGGCAGGCAGGTAGGCAGAGGGAAACAGAGATGATGACAGTACACACATCAGGAAACACAGTGTGACAGAAATGTACCCAGTGACACTTAGTGTGAGAAATCACCACGGACACAAAAATAAGCAAAGACATGGAAACAGATAACACAGAAATGTCCCATCCTTTCCTCTGTTGTGTACAGCTGATCTAATAGTTGATCTAAGGACACAAATGAGAAGGCTCGTCATTGGTACTTGCCCAAATAAGAGGCTAAACTAAGCTGAGGATTGGATTCAAAACACTTTACTGAAGACTGCCCTCCCCAGCTATGGCTAATGAAAGCAAAATTAACAGCAAATAGCAACAGGAAACAAAGCAGAATTAAGAAAATAGAATTTAGGGGTGCCTGGGTGGCTCAGTCAGTTAAGTGTTTGCCTTCAGCTCAGGTCATGATCCCGGGGTCCTAGTGACCTGGGGTCCTAGGATCGAGCCCCCGTGTAGGGATCCTTGCTCAGTGAGGAGTCTGCTTCTATTCCTCCACCCTGCTTGTGCTTGTGCTCTCTCTCTCAAAAAAATAAAAAAAACTTAAACAAAAAGAAAATAGAATTTAAATATAACTAGCAAATTTTTGACACAATACCTGGAAAGCAAATACATCTATTTAAGTCTATGTTACAAAAAAAAAAAAAAAAAAAAGAGAGCGAGAGGCAAAGCAAGAAACAGATTCTGAACTGTAGAGAACAAACTGATGGTTACCAGAGGGGAGGTGGGTGGGAGGATGCGCTGAATAGTTGATGTGATGGGGATTAAGGAGGGCCCTTGTGATGAGCACCGGGTGTTGTATGGAAGTGCTGAATCACTGTATTGTCCATCTGAAACTAATATTACACTGTATGGTAACTAACTGGAATTTAAGTAAAAACTTAAATTATCTTACAACAAATATTTTTATCCTCATGAATTAAAACAAAAGTAGTAAGTCAGATCAAGAATTTTAAGAGTTCTTAGAATGATTTTAAGATTAAGGTATTACTTAACTATACATTTTCTTATATTATTGGAATAATTTCCTTGTCAAAAATCCTAACAACCTATACGTTATTTAAAGAAAACGACAGTATATGGGCACTGTGTCAGAAATATTAAATTTAATGTGCTTCATAACCATATGTGTTTGAAACCTTTAACTTTACGAATACAACTGCCAACATTCATTTTTAATGTCACTGTCACTTGATATAGCTTTATTTTGTTGATAGTTGTAATGTACGAGAATACTTGTCACAGATTTCATTGTTCTTTAAAGGGGAGGTGATATAGTGGGGGTGAGGGGAGTTATAACTTTCAGTACAGTATTCCACAGTACTTGATAAGGCAAATTCTAGTATATGGTAGTGTGAATTGTAGCACTATAGGTTGGTTTAATTCCAGAAATCCGGTTGGCCTGAGGAAGGCTGTGGATGTCCAGTCTATGCTGGTTTGGAAGGCTTAGGCTATCATCACTTTTAAAGTTTTGGTGTTTTCCTTAAAAATTTAGATCTACTCCATCTCACTGATATGTGGAATTTAAGAAATAAAACAGAGGATCACAGGGGAAGAGAGGAAAAAATAAAAGAAGAGGAAACCAGAGACGGAGACAAATCATAAAAGACTCTTAATCATAGGAAACAAACTGAGGGTTGCTGGAGGGGAGGGGGGTAGGGGGATGGGGTAACTGGATGATAGACATTAAGGAGGGTACGTGATGTAATGAGCACTGGGTGTTATATAAGACTGATGAATGAATCACTGACCTCCACCTTTGAAATCAATAATACATTATATGTTAATTAAATTTAAATTTAAAAAAATGAAAGAGCATTTGGAAAGAAAAAAAAATTTAGATCTACTCTAGCAATGAGAGGATTAAGGAACTTTGTTTCTTAAATGATAGAGACTGACAATTGGGGGATGAGCTCATCAATGGCTACTTTTGCTGAAATATACTTGTCAGACTGCTGCTACCACTTTTTGCAAAGATCCTGCAATAAAACACCACACGGGAAGGGGAAAGAATAATCTTTATTCAGATCTAGCAATTACATTTGGGTCTTTGAAAGGATTCAGGTTTGATAAATATTTCTCTATACAAAGCATCCATCCACATACTTTTCAAAATAAAAGAAATAGAGGAATGTTTTTCATATGAAAAAATATATTACCTAACATATGAAATGTTTGGATGAAAGCTAGTTATTGACAATCATACTAAATCCTAAAACCTCAAAATCTCTAGTGAATGTTTACAGCTTGATTCAAATATATGCTTTCAAACATGAAATTATTTCTTTTTTTCCTTTTCAGTATGGCATATCATCCCATAAATGGAAGAAGGTGCACAGAACTCACAATTTCTCTGATAGAATGGAGGAATCAGCTTTAAGGTTTCCTTTCATTTTTTTTTTAAGATTTCTTTCATTTGTTTATTTATTTATTTATTTATTTGAGAGAGAGTGAAGCCAGGGGAGGGGTGAAGGGAGGGGGAGAAGCCGACTCCCTGCTGAGCAGGGAGCCTGATGAGGGACTCGACCCCAGGACCCTGGGACATGACCTGAGCTGAAGGCAGATGCTTAACTGAGTGGTCATGAGTTTAATTATTGAAGTTGGGTGACGGTTACACATGAATTCATTACATTATTTCCTCTACTTTTTATATAGGCTTGAAATTTTCCATAATAAATGTCTTTATACGTTTTTTCGTTTTTAAGTCTTTTTCAAAAGACTTTACAAAAGTCTATTTAATAATTATGCCATTGTTGGGCACCTGGGTGGCCCAGTTGGTTAAGGGTCTGCCTTTGGCTCAGGTCATGATCCCAGGGTCCTGGGATCGAGTCCCTCAGCAGGGAGTTTGCTTCTCCCTCTTCCTCTCCCCCCTGCTCATGCTCTCTCGCTTGCTCTCTCAAATAAATAAATAAAATCTTTGAAAAAAAATAATCATGCCATTGTTTTCCACACCACTTTTTCCCTGAAGTTTAACTTTAGAATATTACTTACAGGTTTATGGGAGCTAATTCAGCACTTATGTAAAAGCATAGATACATGTATGTTTTTAATAATAATTCAAACTAGAAAATGTAAATAAAGGGGTGCTTGGATGGCACAGTCGGTTGAGCAACCGACTCTTGGTCTTGGCTCAGGCTGTGATCTCAGGGTCGTGATACTGAGCCCCGCATCGGGCTCTGTATTCAGTGTGGAGTCTGTTTTAAGACTCTTTCTCCCTCTCCCTCTGCCCCTCCCCCCCAAGAATAAAAAAATAAATCTTTAAAAAAAAAAGGAGGAGTACCTGGGTGGCTTAGTTGGTTGGGTGTCCAACTCTTGATTTTGGCTCAGGTCATGATCTCAGGGTCATGAGATTGAGCCCCACACTGGGCTCCGTGCTGAATGTGGAGCCTGCTTAAGATTCTCTCTCTCTCCTTCTCCCTCTGCCCCTCCTTCCCCACTTGCACTCTCTCTCAAAAAAAAAAATTAAAAGAAAATGTAAATAAGGACACTGGTCCTGAGTTGTTGATAAATACAGATTTAAAAAAAAGATAAAGATAGAGCTGGTGTCTTTAAAATGACTGTCAAAATGTGTTGCTTTATGAAGCCAATTAAAATAATCAATGAATTGGGTCACTTAAGCCCCGATGGTCAAGGTCTTTACTATCTACCACCTCTTCTACTAGGAGTGGCTCAGAGAACTGAGAAAATAAGACTTAATCACATATTCCTGCTTTCATAAGACTGGCAGGGAGGGAGCTGAATATGACAAGGAAGGTTTTTGGATTATGTGTGTTAAATGAATCAATGTTTGTAAAGGGCATGGAACAGTGTCTGGATCATAGTAATGAGCTTTGTGTTTATTAAAAAAATAAATTTATACTTATCTCATAAAGAGATACCTGAGAATTATCTGAAAACTTGATTCATTACATGTGGCAGTTTTGTTTCTTATCCAGAACCTTCTCATAAACCCCTTGTTAAATAAAACTAGATTTTTCTCTAAAAATCCACATGCCTTCACTTTTGTATACACACACACATAAATTCCTAAAGAGTCTTCATCTTTGCAAGAGTTTAAGAAAGATCCAATTTCCCTTTGAAAACTGTACTATAACCTTTAAAAAGAATGACAATGTCAAAACCATGTGCTGAAAGCCTGAATTAGATACACTTAAAAAAATAAATAATACATTCTTACCTTTCCAAGGTTTTCCTGTTCAGCAATATTTTTTGTATACTGCTCCCTAGGGGATCAACATAACGATTTAGTTTCAATTTACTTCAATTGATTTCATCATACAACTAAATTATAAATTAACTTATCAATCTAAATATATTAGGCAATATAGATAGTTTAGAGTATTGGAATCAGAATTCAAACCATTACACTCCCTTTCCCCATCATCAGGCAGTTCTTCTGGTAAATACTGCATCAGAAATTAAGAGAATTAAAAAGTTAAGTACTATTTCTGGTTAATTTACACTTAAAACAATAGTAACGCACTTTTGCTTAAGCTACACTTTATTATTTTTTTAAGTTTTAATTTATTTAATTAATCTCTACACCCGACGTGGGGCTCAAACCACAACCCAGAGATCAAGAGTCACATGCTTTTCCAAGTAAGCCAGCCAGGCACCCTAGTCACACTTTATTTTTGAAGAGGTTTGTAGAAAGAAGGAAGGATACACATTTTAAATAAACATTAAATAACATCTAATTTTACTTCTAGAAAGTTGTCCTGCAGAAAAACACTCATAACTTAAGGTAAATGTAAAGACTATTTACTTAACCCTTGCTTATAACAGTGAAAATCTGCAAACAAACTAGATGTCAATAGATGGGGAAATATTTAAATAAATTATGGTACATGTATTCAAAGGAATAATATAGAGTTGTAAAAGGAGGGGGTAGATCTATAAATACTGAAATAGAATTTTAGATATATAAATAAGAGAAAAACTGTATATGTAGTTTAACCTGATTTTTGTATATATACACACATAAAATCTTCCCATGCATTTGCGCACACACACACACACACACACACACACGCAAATGCATGGGAAAGGAATATGGAGTAATTATACACCAAAATATTTTTATTTTTTTAAAAATATTTTATTTATTTATTTATTTGAGAGAGGGAGAGAGAGAGTGCAAGCAGGGGTAGGAGCAGAGGGAGAGGGACAAGCAGACTCTGTGCTGAGCCTGGAGCCTGACGTGGGGCTCAGTCTCACAACCCTGAGATCATGACCTGAGCCAAAATCAAGAGTCGGACGCTCAAATGACTGAGCCACCCAGGTGCCCCTACACCAAAATATTAACAATAGGCATTTCTGAGGCAGGGCAATGTGGGTAACATTCAGGTTTTGGTTACTATACTTCATAATGGTTACTATTGTTTTTATAAGCATTTCCTCTGTAAACGAAAAAAACCTGTACTTTTCAAGTAAAAATAATACAAATAACATTGTACTGTGTTTTTAAACAAAAGTATAATTATACATATTAAGATTTTTCAATTATTTTAAGTAATAAACGTGGGGCTTGAACCTACAACCCAAAGATCAAGGCTTGCACACTCTACCAACTGAGCCAGCCAGGTGCCCCAAAAGTATAATTATATTGTAATACTTCATAAGACAAAAAATGATATTTAGAGTGTTAAGGACAAAGATCAAAGGATGAGGAAAAAGGAACCAATGACAAAGAAGATAAAAGAGGCTTCAGACCTCACCTTTAGACAGAAAAAGACGGTGTTTCTGTGTAAAGCTACATTGTAGTAAGAAGGTAAACAACACAAAACTGGAAATCTAAGAAATCATAAACCACAAAGAGAAATTCTAGCAGCTTAAATTAAGGAAGATCATGCAAAAAGGGGAGGTAAACGCAACTAGACTGGAGAGAATGGGAATCAAAAGTACTCGTGGTCCTTGGGGCACCTGAGTGGCTCAGTCAGTTAAGCACCCACAAGGGGCTGCGCACTCAGCAGGGAGTCTGCTAAAGACTTTCTCTCCCTCTCCGTCTGCCCCTCCCCTGATCTCTCTCTCTCTCAAATAAATAAATCTTAAAAAAAAAAGTACTCAAAGTCCTTACAGAGCTGGATTGAAGGCAGAATTTAGACATGGAAATGAGGGTGGAAGGGAATAAACACAATCTTGATGAACCTTTATTTTGACCTTAAAATTTATGAGACACTAAGTCAAACGGTTTACCTCCAGCTCTGCAGTGAAAAATAGCTAGGAGAATATAAATGATATATTACTTAAAAAGAACTTATTGATATAGTTCGGATAGCTTTATTTATTTACTTATTTATTTTTTAGAGAGGGAGGGGGAGGGGGAAAGGGAGAGAGAGAATCTTTTTTTTTTTAATATTTTACTTATTTATTTGACAGAGAGAGAGACAGCGAGAGAAGGAACACAAGCAGGGGGAGTGGGAGAGGGAGAAGCAGGCTTCCCACAGAGCAGGGAGCCCGATGCGGGGCTCGATCCCAGGACCCTGGGATCATAACCTGAGCCGAAGGCAGACGCTTAACCAACTAAGCCACCCAGGCACCCGGAGATAATCTTAAGCAGGCTCCATGTGGAACCTGATGCAGGGCTTGATCTCACAACCCTGGAATCATGACCTGAGCTAAAATCAAGGGTTGGCAGCTTAAATGACTGAGCCACCCATGAGCCCCAAGTTTGGCTAGCTTTAAATAATTCATTTATTACCCTAGGACTGAGAAATGTTCAAACTATTTTAGAATTTCCATTTATATTTAATCAAGAAATCAAAGGCTCATGCTCTTTTACCATACAACACTAATATGTAATTTTTTAATTTATTTGATGAATTTATTCAAGAAATAATTATGGAGCACCTGTTATGTACCAAGCATGCCCTGGGGTTTCAGGAAGAAAACAAGACAGAATCCTTTTCCTCCAGGAGCTCATACTATATAATTTCCAAAACACTGCTACATGCATTATATTTAACTTGATCTTTGGTGGTATAAATTTTCCTCCTTATTTGTAGATGAGGAAATGATTTGCCCAAGGTCACAAAACTCAGAACTAGAAAAACGAGGTTAGAAAGAAATTTTATGAGTCCCTCTTTAGTACTTCAAAATAAAACATCCTGCCTCTTTAAATAAAATTAAAATTTGCAGACAATCTTTCAAAACCATACTAATTCCTCAGACCTTTGGTTTTACTCAAAAGTGCCATAAAAGTAGAAAATGGAATAACAATAAAAATATTGTGTCTAATAATAATAATATTTTAAACATGTATCAATGAATTTAGAGTACAGTTAACTCCATTTTATTCATAATATTCTTATGTCCTACTCTAGCCAGGGAAAAGTATTTTTTCTATAGGAAAATAAAGGAATGGTAAAGGTTTATGATGACTTTCAAAATGATGAAGAAGAATATCTGGCCTGAAAACCAATAGTTCAGGGGCAATATTTCCTTCTTTACTATTTATATTGTAACTTTGGAAGAAATGGAACTTAATTTCTAAAACTTTTGTTTCTCAAGGATAAAAGTAACTTCTCACATTTGTAAAATATTACCACTGACCACACAGATTTATTTGAGCAAAGGTTATATTCAGTGAAAGAATGTGAATAAGTACATTTAATATGCGTAATTTGTCAGAGTATTAGAAGAAATATTGTTCTATTTATAGGACATGTTCAGTCTGGCTTGCATTCCAGTGCATTATATATTTAAAAAATTAGATTCTGCAACATTCCATTTATTAGATTTTTTTGTAACATTAATGTAAATGCCACTAAAAATCTCAAGTGCCATCTAGAATAAATGTGAATCCTTATTTTGAGTTCTTACTGGATGGTAAAAGCGAAACATCCGAATTGTGGTTAAGGGGCAAAGAAAGCTTATCTTGTTCGATTACTGCATTTTGTCACAGCTAGCAATTCAACCATAAGTGCATTTTCTTTCAGGCAGCCTTTGATTTATTACAGTATGCTGCAAGCTTGGATTACAAAAAAAATCACCATATAAGGACTAGTGGTATTTACACACCCTTCCTTGTTTTGAAGGCTGGCACAATGCAAACACACAGCTTCTAGCTGAAATACACTCACGCACTACACAATGAGCAGGCAGATGACTAGAGTCCAGGCTATGTGGGACTTTAAAAATAGACCGATCTTAGTGCTTATGAAAAAGGAACCATGAAATTATATGTATTCCTGGGGAGGGGAGAATGGGAAGTTATTGTTTAATGATTACAAGAGTTTCTGTTTGGAGTGATGAAAAAGGGTTGGTATTATATACTAGTGATCACTGTACAATATTGTAAATGTAATCAATGCAACTGAATTATACCCTTAAAACTGGTAAAAATGGCAAATTTTATGTTATTAGGTTTTTTTGCCATGATAAAAAAAAAAAAGCAAGCAAGCCAGCAAGAAAATTGTGTGTTTTCCTACTTAGTAAGTTAGTAGGGCTGGACTATACGGAAGATGTTTAACAAGATTTAATCCTAAATAATATCTTAGTATCTGCTTATTTAAGTACTCCCAATCTTAGTAATTTAGTAATTCCATCTTGTTTATAAAACTTCTATAAGTGACAGCCACCAAAAAGAATGAAATCTTGCCATTTGCAACAACATAGATGGAGCTGGAGAGTATAATGCTAAGTGAAATAAGCCAGTCAGAGAAAGACAAATACCTTATGATTTCACTCATATGTGGAATTTAAGAAACAAAATAAATGAACAAAGGGGGGGAAAAAAAAGAGAGACAAACCAAGAAACAGACTCTTAACTATAGAGAACACATTGATGGTTACCAGAGGGAAAGTAGGTGCGGGGATGGGTGAAATAGGTAATGGGGATTAAGAGTATATCTATCATGATGAGCACTGAGGAATGTGTAAGATTGTTGAATCACTATACTGTATACCTGAAACTAATAGAACACTGTATGTTAACTATTCTGGAATTTAAATAAAAAATTTAGTAAAAAAAAAACTTCCTAGGTGAAAACATTAAGTAACTCAATATAGAAACAACAAAATTACTTGCCTAATTGCCTTTCTTTTTTCTTGTTGATCAGAAGAGACATATGCCTTCATCTCATCGGTAGCTCGACGAAGTTGTATTTCTAGGTTCTAAGTGGAAAGACCAAGTTTTAGGTTAAGTCCTTGATACAGAAAAATCTCAGAAAGGTTTTTGATCCATTTTCTTTGTTTTACCTTGATCATACAATTTGTGTAATGGTATCTACTTTCTTCTTGAAGACATTCTTCACGTAGTCCCCTGACTTCCTATAATATATAATTTTAAATGGGCAATATTACTGAAAGAGTAATAATCAAATACAGAGAGGATGACTTTAAATGTACAACAAAATACCATCAGCGTAATTTCTTCCTTTGTAATTACAATTTTGTTTACAATAGACTAGGTTGCAATCTTTTCTAGAGACTACTCATATCACTCTAAAACCTATAGGTTTAGTTATTCACTTATTAAGTACCTATTGTGTGCCCAACTCTGTGCTAGGTGCTGGGACATAGTGAACAAGACTACAGACTCCTGCTCTCATTCAAGGAGAGGAAACAGACATAAGCAAGGAGACAGGTAACGAAGGTAGTTTCAGATAGGAATAAGTACTATGAAGAAGAGTCAGCAGTAGAATGTAATAGGGTGACCGAATGGGCAACATTAATAGGGTGATCAGAGAAGGCCTCCAGGAGGAGGTAACATTTAGGCTGAGACCTGATGATGAAAAGGGGAGATCAAGGCAAAGAGTTGGAGGCAGAGTGTCCCAGAGAGAGAAGAGCACAAGCAAAAGCTATGAGGTGAAAAGAAGCTTGGCCTGTTTGATGCGCAAGAAGGCAGCCAGTGTGGCTGCAGCCCTTGTGGATGAGGAGCAGAGCACATGGACATGAAGTTCGGGAGGCAGGTGAGCCTTGCAGACCATAGTTTGGAAGTTAGATTTTAAGTGCAATGGGAAGATAGTGGAGGGTGGCCTAAGTTTTCTACAGGTTTCTTTGGCTCTCTATGGAGAAAAAAGCCTTAGGAAGGTGAGGGTAGAGGTGGGAGACCAGGTCCGAGTTACTGTGGGAGTCTAGGAGATGCACGATGAGGGCCTGGACTTTGGTGGTTGTGCTACAGATGGAGAATTCAGTGTGTACGCATCAAGTCTGAAGAAATAAAGATCTCTGGAGCTTAGGAGACCAGCTCAGGGGATGAGGGTAAAGATTTGGGAATCTTTTGTTGTCGGTGTAATGAAAACATGTATGCACAGGCAGTTTCTGCTAAATTGCTAAAATAAACTATCTTCTTACCTGTTCTAATTTGGATCGGTTGCTTTCGAGGCCTGCTGCACAGCTATCATACTGGGATTTCTTTTCATCACACTCCTGGGTTAGTTCCTAGTATGAAAGGATAAATGATTGAATAAGTGAAAAACAAAGGCCTAAAATGTGGCCCTGAAACAATGCATGCCCTTGTCAGTCTTGTAACTTAACTCTAAGCTTCTTGGCATACTTAAGAGTTATTTATACAACAAGCAGACATTTGAGAATTATGACAGATGAAGGTACTGATAAAAATAATAACTACCATGTATTGAGCTGTATGCCAGGCTCTTTATTAGGAGCTGGGGATACAACAGTGAGCAAAACAGCCAGAATCCTTTCCCTAAAGTGTGTTCAGACAAGTAAACAGCTATCATGGGCAAATATGTGTTATAGGAGAACATAGGGCTCTCATAGGACCTAACCCAGGCTTGAAGATTGGCAGGGATAGAGAAACCAGTATCTAAGTTGAGGGACGAAAGATTAATACAATAGTTAGGGGGGAAGGTGAACAAGGAAGGAGAATGTTCAGGAAAAAAGAACACTATGTATGAAGGCTTGGGAGGCAGAGAGAACGATAATTGAGGATGAACAAGTAGTTTATTATACTGGAGTATGTCTGGGAAGAGGGGAAGACACTGAAGTCTTTGGCAGGGGCTTGGTCAGAAATATGGAAACCATGGTAGGGCCTCTGAGCTTTACACTTGTCAATAATTCAATCTCACCACAACCCTTTGAGTAGGTATTAATATCCTGACACCACGCTGGGAGAAAGTTCATGGAGGCCAAGTACCTTGCCAAAGATTATACTGCTGAAAAGGGGTGTCAGAATTTGAATTCAGGCTGTTTGAGTAGTTTCAAACTTTCTTCTAACGTAATATTTTGGATTAGATAACTTGAAAATCTTCTATAAATACTTAGAAATGTTAAAAATATCTGCAAATGCTTGATAAGGTGACGCAAACATCTTTTCAAATCCAGAGCTGAAATGAACTTCTCAAGGAAGTAAGAGGAATTACCAGGGCCAGAAACAAAGGATGACACCCTGAGCCTGCCCTTGGTGAAGGAAGCTGGGAGCAGTCAATCTTGGTAACGGAGGGATTCTAATATTCAGGCAGGGCAGAAGACAGAGTGGAAAGTTAGAACTGAGAACCCCACAGAATCCAAGCTGTTTTTCAGTCTGGGTGTAAAGGGTTAACACCAGGCCTGGACTGAAGCAAGCCAGCCTCAGAATGACCTTGGTTTCACACAGCAGTTTCCATGGGAACAGGAGAATTAACATAAATGGGTAATGTTGTGTGTGCTTCCTTTGTTGTGTGGGACTGCATCTGGTTTGGGGTGACTGGCACAGTAGGAAAAACGGGTGGGGTGCCCACTGAGGAGAACATATACTAAAACTGGAATGATACAGAGAAGATTAGCATGGCTCCTGTGCACGGATGACATGCAAATTCGTGAAGCGTCCATATTTAAAAACAAAACAAAACTGGTGGGAACTCTCTCCTGGGCTCAGACCTAATTGGTGGTGACACGGCTAAACGCACCAAGGAGGTCAGAATCATCCGTAAATATAGGACCCGTTATAGTGCCTCCTTCAGGAAATTGGTGAAGACGGAAATAAGCCAGCACGCCAAGTACTTGCTCTTTCTGTGGCAAAACCAAGATGAAAAGAAAAGCGGTAGGGATCTGGCACTGTAGTTCCTGCATGAAAACTGTAGCTGGTGGGGCCCGGACCTACAGCACCACTTCTGCCCTCACAGGAACGTCTGAAGGAATTGAAAGACAGGTAGAAGCTCTACCACTTGAAACACTGCTGGTCTATGATAAATGGGTTAACTTATGCATCAAAATTACTTTGGTTTGCTGTTAAATTTGTTAATTAGATGTTCTGATTTTCATTGCATTAATTTTGCTTTCTCAAAAGAGGCTTGGAAATGAAAATCCTTCTAATTGTAATTGGAGAAAGGAAACTGGTGGTAAAAAGGAGCTGTGACTTTTCTGTATAAAAGGGACCTACAGATTTCTAAGGCTCTCATGGGTGACAGTCATACACACCCTAAATGGGAGAAGGGGCAATAGAGGCTATGACTGCTGGGCCTCTCAAGGAGATGAGGACACTCTAGTAGATGACAGCCTTTTGTTTTGGTCTGTGAGTCTGATGGCTAAACTAATCAGTAAATGCACTTGTGCTGCTGCAGAGGCAGCTGGAGGAAAGGGGCCTGTCCTCAGGCAGGTTTGGGTTTGAATTTACCCTTACCTACATGAACTGCTAAGCTGAGATATTAATTCAAAATCAGCTCTAAGCTTGTGATAGTCCTAAAACACCTGGCGGAGCCAACTGCAAAGCCACTCTGGAGGGACACACCCCCCATCCTAGCTGCTGGGATTCAAAAGACAAAACCCTACTAAAGATAAGCTCACAATCCAAAAGTATAAACATACATGGAACCAATCAATCCTTATGAGTGAAGATGAGAAGATTTAAAAAAAAAACAACAACAACCCAGCAGGCCGGCAGTTCCAGGAACTTTGGATAGTAGAAGTAAACCTATTAAATAAATATGCTTGAAATAAAGTTATAAAGGAGGAACTGAAAAGAAAAGATTAAAAAATGTACAGTGAATAAAAATAGACAAACATGAAAAAAGTCATTGAAATTAAAAACTGAATGGCATAAACATAAGAACAGACACAGCTCAGAAGACAGATGAAGAAATTATTTAAAATTCATTGCAGAGACACAAAAAGATAAAAATATGAAGGCGAAGTCATGCAACAGAGGACAGACACCCCCTGTTATCCCCATAGGGACGTGATAAGTATGCCTAACATGCATCCAATAGTAGTAGCTGGAGAACAGACTAAAAAGAACAGGGGAGAAAATATTTGAAGATATCATGTGGAATTTTCCTGGAATTAGTGGAAGGCAAAAAGCATAAATTCCAGCAGAGCAAATAAAACTACAACTGTATTTAGATCGTGGTAGTGACACTGGACAACACCAAAGACAAAGAAATATTACAACCAATTATAGGGAAGATATTACCAATATCTTTAATGATAATTAAACTGATAGCGGACCTTTCAACATAAGAGAAACCAGAAAGCAGTGAGCAAGCCATTATTTAAGGGGAAAAAAAAGATGGTTTACTTATAGTAATGATTCTTTACGAAGAGAACTACTACAAGAAAAAAAAAAAACAAGGAAATTTGATCAGGAAGAAGAAAACAGAATCGAGAAGGAAGGATGAACATACAAGCAGCGATGGTGAGAACTATTAAATATGTGGGTAAATCTAAACAGGAAATGACTGTATAAAGTAGTCATTTTAAGTAATGACCACCATGACAACTGCTTTTAGAGACCAAGAAATAAAATGGAAATAAACTACCAGAGGATAACAACACACACGTAAGGCAGGAGAGGGTGTTAAACTATTCTAAGGTCCCTGTATTGCTGGGGAGATGCTGATTAAATTTAGACTGTTAAGTCAGAAAAACAGACGTTAAAAATTTAAGAGTAAACAATATCAGAATAGAAGATAGAAAAGGAAATAAAGGGAATTAAGAAGATAAAAAGAAACAGAGTGGTGCGATGAAGGGCAGGAAAGAAGCAGCACAGTAAACAGGATGCACAAAATAGAAATAAATCCCAATGTATCAAAAATAAAAGTAAATGTAAATGGGATTAAATTCACCAATTCAAAAGACAGAGTCTCAAAATGAATGAAGAAACCACCCACACAAGATCCAGCTACATGCCATTTATGAGACAAGTGACAAAAGTAAGGGCATAGAAAGCTGAAAGAAAACAGAAATAAAAAGATATGCCAAGCAATCTTAATCATAAGAAAGTTGGCATACTTGTGTTAATAGCAGACAAAATAAAAATCTTAGACCAAAAGCATTAGCAGGAATAAACAGAGTAAAAAATGATAAAATGAATAATTTACAGGGAAGGTTTTTCTTTTAAAACCAGGAATCTTTTTCTTAATTGTTGTAAAATAACATAAAATGTACCATCTTAACCATTTTTAAATGTACAGTTAAGTACTGAGTACACTCACATTGTTGTGCAACCGATCTCCCGAACTTTTCATCTTGCAAAACTGAAACTCTTATACACATTAAACAACTACCCATTCACCAGGAAGTTTTAAATGATACATTTGTGAAGCCTGATCTGAGGAACACATAGAGAACCCAGTACTCAACAACTGGAAAAGACATACACATTTTAAGATCAAGGCACTAAGAATATTAGGTTGCCCTCCTATCTCTTCATAGCCACACTTAACCTAGAAGACGGTGGAGCTATACTTTGAAAATTCTCAAAAAAAGAAAGCACGATGTAAAGATTTTATGTTCAAGTCAAGCTGTTTTTTTAAATATTTAAGGCAAGAAGCTCTAGAACACGCAAGAACTCATCAGAGAATATTGTTCTTGTGAGTTTTTTTTGTTTGTTTGTTTGTTTTTTTGAGGATTCTCCTAAAGGACAAATCACAGAAAATAAAAATTAGGAAAAAGGGCAGTGAAAAGATTGGTAATGAGTACTGAATCTAATAATTACAGGTTGAACACTGAAAACAAAAGTGGGAACCAGGGAAATAGAACTGAATGTAAATGTGCCGTGCCTTAGCAATGTAGAAATGATAAAACAAAACCTGCAGGGAAGGGAAAGGTAAAAGCAGGTGGGAGGTAGAATAAATAAGCTGACTTCCTCAAATCTTAATTGCTGCGGATGGGTGGGGACATATCAAAGGGTATAATTTAAAGCTGATGAATCAAGTTATAAGTATATTAAAAGTATAAAGGCAAACAGTAAGAGAGACTATAAAATTGACTAAAATCAGGTGCTAAAGGAGAGAGAAGGGACGGAGAAGGAGGAGGAGGAAATACACTAATTTCACCCTTGCTCACAGTGGGGATTAATAGATGCTACCTACAGAAATGGATGATTAATGGTGGAGTTACAAATATAACCACCAGAACAAAACCACAAGCCAGAAACAAATACAGGGAGGGAGAGGGAGAGAGAGAATGGAGGACAAACAGGATTTTGTAATAGGTCTTAAAATCAAGAGCTACCCATAAAATGTACTAAGATCAAATACGTCTGCATATCAAGTAGATATAAATGGGCTAAACTTACTAATTAAAACAAACCCTTCAGATTCTATCACATACCCAAACCCAACTCAAGACCTATTCAGAGACACACCTAAAACAAGATAACTTTCAAGAAGCTAACAGCAAAAGATGGGCAAAAGTACAGTAGGCAAATGCAAATAAAAGAAAGCAGAAATTGTGTTCTTAAGATCAGAAATGAATTTTGTCTCCCACTGCCAAAAAAGGCCTTTGTCCTTTTAGAGAGTAGAATAAAGGTATAGAGAACAAATTTTAGGCAGCCAATAAATAATTATCCATTCATGAATTCTCAGAAAATTTCTGGAACACACATAAGGACCTGTTTTACTTTTGGGAAGTGTAGAGAAAGAAATAATTTCTATTCTTTCCCTTAAATAATCATTCACAGTTTGAATTCTTACCCAGAGCATGTATTTACTTTTATAAGAAAAAGTGATCAATAAGAAATATTTCAGTGAAATCAATAATTGTATTGTATACTCTAAAATGAGTATTTTAGCTTTTTCCATATATTAGCAATTATATGTATTATGACATTTAATTGCATATAATTTATAGAACTACTCCTAAGAAAACAAACATGAAACTTTTCAAGATCCTATTCTACCTCTAGGTGACTATAAAAGATTTAGAAAATGTAAATTATACGTCTGGAGTTACGATACTCTGATTTTCAAACAGTTGTTAATATTCAAATTTAGAACATGCAAGTACAACAGAAAGAAAATGTATTAACACTTCACTATAAAATTTCCTAAATATTTGAGTTGCCCATTAAAGCAAGAAGTATATATTTTTTAGTATAACGTATTTTTTTAAAAGATTTTATTTATTTATTTGACAGAGAGAGACACAGCGAGAGAGGAACACAAGCTGGGGGAGTCGGAGAGGGAGAAGCAGGTTTCCCGCGGAGCAGGGAGCCCCTATGCGGGGCTCGATCCCAGGACCCTGGGATCATGACCTGAGCCGAAGGCAGACGCTTAATGACTGAGCCACCCAGGCGCCCCTAGTATAATGTATTTTTAAGTAGTCCTGCACTTTACCAACATATCTATGTAGTTTTGAGTGGTAAGTACACTCAAACAGGTTAAAAATAATGGTTCAAATGGAGAACAATTAAGAATTTCAGTTAATATTTGCAAAAAGCTTATAATCAATGACATGGTTAGCCTTTTTTTTAGTATACTTTTTATCACAAAAGGTTTCTGGATAAAAGTAGAACTATACATGGATGCAGGAGATGGACATATGGAGATAACCAAGTGAGCATCAGGCACTCACCAAACACACTGAACTCAAACATTTCAAAAAAAAAAAAGTTAATACAAATATTATAGACAAGTAGTCCTGTACTCCTTTTTTAAAAAAAGATTTTATTTATTTATTTGAGAGAGTGAGAGAGAGCACAAGCAGGGGGAGCAGCAGAGGGAGAAGCAGGCTCCCCGCTGAGCAGGGAGCCCAATGCGGAACTCGATCCCAGAACCCTAGGATCATGACCTGAGCCGAAGGCAGATGCCCAACTGATTTAGCCACCCAGGTGCCCCTCTGTACGCTTTTTAAAAGATTTTTTTTTAGGGGAGCCCAGGTGGCTCAGTCGGTTGAGCATTCAACTCTTGGTTTCAGTTCAGGTTGTGATCTTGGGGTCGTGAGATCGAGTCCCACACTGGGCTCCACGCTTGTTGGGGAGTCTGCTTGAGATTCTCTCTCTCCCTCTCCCTCTGCCCCTCACCCCACTCATGCTCTCTCTCACTCTCTCTAAATAAATAAATAATCTTCAAAAAAAGATTTTTTTATTGTGCTAAAATAATACCTAAAATGAAAATTACCACTTAAACCATTTTTTAAGTGTCCAGTTCAGCGGCATTAAGCACATTCACACTGTTGTGCAGCTGTCACCACCATCCATCCATCTCCAGATCTCTTTTCATCTTCCCAAACCAAAACTCTGCCCCCTTAAACACGTAACTTCCCATTCCCTCTGCCCCCCCACAAGCACCATTCCACCTTGTGTCTGTGAATGTGACTACTCTAGTCACATTCCTGTAAGTGGAATCATACGGTATTTCTCTTTAGCAGTGTGAGTTTTCAACGTGGCAGAAGACAGAGATGAAAATGTTGACATGGCTTAGGTACCTCTTGGACTTGATGATAAGAACTGGAGAGTTGTATTATTTGGGAATGGTGGTAAGATAACTACATCTCTTTATAATGAGAGATGTAGGCAGTGCTTCATATACAGAGAAATCTGGTTAAATTACATGAAAATGAGTTTCAGGTTGGTTAAATTATTATATTATAATAAATGACTTTAAAGAATTTAAGATTTGGTATATGGTTTACTTAGAAAACAATTTGGTTGAAAAGCAATAATATCCCTTCTTTTAAAACTATCTTTAATAATTATAATGATTCTATAGTTCATGTTCTTAATCATTCTATCTACATTGTCTGAATAGAACCTTAAAGTAACTAGCAGTATGTACTAAAATTCCAACCATGTAAAAAAGTATATATGAGAGGACAAGGCTAAAACGCAAAGGTGAACACTGTTCAGCTGTTGCTAAGAGGATAACGGGTGGTGTACTAAAGATGTCAGTTAAAGTCCCTGACATACCTATAGCCTCTCCAGAGGGAAAATTCTCTAGGCAGTCAGACTTGGTCCCATATCACCCTCCTTTCTTCTCATCCTGCCCTACCCATGAGCATAGCTGGTTAGGCTAAGGATGGACCCCTGACCTGACCTGAGGATAGCTCATTGTCTATAAGATAGTTGGTCATGAAAAACTGCCCCCAAAACAGAAGAGCTGCACCAGGAATTTGAATTAGAAAATGCAAAGAAAATGGGGCAGCTAGTAGTGAAAACTTCAACACAAAATATAGAGAGAGAAAGGTCATAGGGTGCGATATGAACAATGCTTGGAACATGGAAAGCACTTAATAAATGTTTTTACTATTACATTCATCATCATTATCCACAAGCTCCCACTGCTAGCATTCCTGAAACTCCCCTGACCCCCAGTGCTCCTCGGGCACAGGACCTCGACCTGTTCCACACAGATTATGGTTCTGATCTTTGGAATTCCAGGCAGAACATCTCCTTTACTGTCTTAAATATCCTCTCAATACAACTCATTTAAAACATAAATGAATTTAATAAAAGAAATATTTACAAATAGATTTCTTAGCTTACTATTAGGAAGAAATTTTATCATCACTAGAAATACATATAAACAGTCCCTTTTGTTTCCAAGTTACTTACTCAAGAAAAGCATTAAATAAATCAATAGATTAGAATGTAACCATGAAAACAATTCTCGATGTCCTTAATCTCAAAACCTTGTTCAAAAATTCCCTTTCTGAAACTTTTTCTTCCTAACAATCACATCACTTGCTTCCTCTTTCCTTATCAGTTAAGTATATGATTCTGATTATATTTTTTTCTTTCTTTCCTTCCTCCCTTCCTCCCTCCCTCCCTTCCTTCTTCCTTCTTTGTAAGCTCTATGCCTTCCTTCCTTCTTCCTTCTTTGTAAGCTCTCTGCCCAACGTGGGGCTCAAACTCAAGACACCAAGATCAAGAGTCACATGCTCCACCAAGTAAGCCAGCCAGGTGCCCCTTTTCTATATTTTGCTTTCTTTTTTTTTTTAAAAAGATGTTATTATATATTTTTATTTGAGAGAGAGAGAGAGCATGAGCGGGGGGAGGGGGTAAGGGGCAGAGGGAGAGGGAGAAGCAGGCTCCCCACTGAGCAGGAGATCACAACCTGAACTGAAGGCAGACGCTTAACTGCTTAACTGACTGAGCCCCCAAGGCGCCCCATCTATATTGTTCTTAAGTTGGGTTATCTTTTGTCTTTCTTGAAATTTGTCTCATCTCACCTATGAGCATGTGGACTCCAGAGAACAGGAACTTGTCTCTTCCATTTCTTTTGTGATGACAGTGGTGTGTAATGGAATGAGCAGGAAATGTGAAATAAGATAACATAGATGCTGGAGTCAAGCTGCAACTTTCTCACTGCCTACTTGTCTATTTGGATAAGTCACTAAACCTGGCTCAGGCCCCACGGCATTTTCTATAAAAAGGAAATGATGTGATTTTTCACTGTGTTCCCTTGACTGATGGATGGCATTCGTGAAGAATTTTATAGTTCCATAATCAGGCACATGCAGTACAACCCACATTCAAACCTAAAATTACTATACAGAGAGTGATAAAATAACAACAGCTAATGTCAGACGGCAGAGGCCATTGGATCTGCATTTGTGGAGGGCATTTACCTTCTAACAGTTTAGCTTCAAAGTAGTGGTTAGAATTAGCTTCCAAGCAATGGTATTTCATCACTTATCACAAGCTTTCATAGTTTGCCCCTGGCCCTGCTCCCCAGCAAAGCAAGTCCATTAATCTAAAGTTAACTTGTCACCACTCATTGGCAGACTCTGAGCTTTTACCTGGCCACAGAAGAATGTGACTTCATATTTATAGCTCTGACATATATCAGATTTAAAGCAAAAATCTAATCTAGCTGCACTTGTGATTTCATCTTAAACTCCTTCTTCTCTTTCTCTCTTTCCCCCGATAATTTGACAAAACAAAGAGCATAAATTAAACAAAAAACTTCATAGGTCACATATTACCCTATTTTGTGGAATCATATCAAAATAACAGTAATAATTTGCTTTCTATAAATTACCCAAGTAAAATATTCAGGATTCTAACTAGTACATCTGAACAAGATAGGATGCTAAAAGTATCACAAATCAAATTCACTTACTTGACATTTCTGGCGCAACTGTCGTAGTTCTTTTATAACTGGGGCTAGAGCTGACTTCTTTTCAGATACCAGTGAATTCAGCTTTTTTACCTGTCATTTAAACAAAATACATGAGATCTAAAAAAAAGAATTCAAAAGAACAAAAATACTACATGCTTAAATATATTTATTAAAGTGTTAGATAAAAGAGTAAAACTGTAAATTACTTCAAAACCAAACAATGGGGAAATGATTTAGTAAATGTTGTTTCAGTAAGATGGAATAGCATTTAACTATTCAAAAGGTCAATTGTTAAGACTGCAAACCATATGGGAAAATATTTGTAATCTAACATTGAATGATGAAAACAAATTAGAAAGTTGCCTGTATACAACCACAATCATGCTGTATTATTAAAAATATGTAATTATGTAGATTATATAGTATATACATAACATGATGAAGTGATATTCAAAATACATAATAACCCAAAGGATATAAGTAATGACCAATCAAAATGGACACCAGCCATAGAGACTAATGGGGTCTCAAAGTCTTCTGATTTTTAGGAGTCAGATTGTAGTGAGATCCAGAGGGTTCTGGGCAAGTGGTCAATGTGGAAAAAAATAGGTGGAAGTGGGTACTCTAAGAGTCTGAGGCAGCAGCTATTTACCAATAAGGAAGGAAAGATTTTAACATTTGAATGTCTGATGAAGCTGCCATCAGCGCATTCAGGCTGAACAGCAGCTCCAAATATGGAAAGATACTAAGGACACACACAAAAATGAAGTAATTTTATTAGTTAGGGTGGTATGATTTGTGAAAACTTATTTTTTATCTTAAATATTTCTTTAATGTTCTGTAACTTTTACACACTTCAAAAACCATAAAGATAAGGCAGGCATTTCAATACATAATTCTATAGGGTATTTAACAAACCCATCATGTTTCCTTGGAAAAAAAGCCCTACAAAATGCATAAATTATGACAAGTTGAACAACTTACTAGAATGGAAGCATTCAGAAGAGATTGCTAAAGACGATGAAAGAATATAAAGTAAACAATGTGCAGAAATGAAAATTTGAGTGTTTCACTGAAAACAAAACACAAAAACATCTGCCTCTAGCTATAAAATTAAAAAAAAACACTATAAAAAAAAGTGAAATCAGGGCACCTGGGTGGATCAGTCATTAAGCATCTGCCTTTGGTTCAGGTCATGATCTCAGGGTCCTGGGATCGAGCCCTGCAAAGGGTTCCCTAATCAGTGGGGAGCCTGTTTCTCTCTCTCCCTCTGCTTCTCTCCACCCCGCTCTTACTCTCTCTCTCAAATAAATAAATAAAGTCTTTAAGAAAAAAAATCAAGTGGGGCGCCTTGGTGGCTCAGTCAGTTAAGCTTCTGCCTTTGGCTCAGGTCATGATCCCAGGGCTCCTTGCTCAGCAGAGAGTCTACTTCTCCTTCTGCCTGCTCTGCCTGCCGCTCCCCCTGCTTGTGCTCTCTTTCTTTCTGACAAATCAATCAATCAATCAATCAATCTTAGGAAAAAAGAAAAGAAAGAAAACAAATCAAGTGTAATCACCATTTCAGACATGTCGTCAAGTGTTCGGCCTTTCATCTCATCAACCTCAGTCTTCAGTGCAGATACCCTTTCTAGCTCTTCCTGGGTGTAACTATATCCAGATATACCCTTTTTCTCTTCAACAGTTTGCTAAAAGCAAAGAATAAAAATAGGTGTCAAAAATGGGGTCCACAAAATGAGTGTTAAAACCTCGATGATTCCATAAGAAGTGTACAGATTTAACATATAACAATAAAGTTATAAATAAAATAAATTAGCTTAGAATCATAAATAATTATTTAATAATAAATAATAATTTGACAATAATTACATATCTTTATAGGTTATAAACTTGCACTAAATTTTACTTTGGTATCCTTGGGTGCACAGTATTTCTAATTTTAGCACTCAATGAATATTTAGTGACTGAATGAATTCTGAAGTGATCAATATATTTGCATTCACTCACCCATCCAATATTTATTATATACCTAAATGTGCTGAGTATAGTTCTAAGCACCAGATATCCAGCAGCGAACAAAACAGGAAAAGAAAAACCTTCCCTCACAGAGCTTACTTCTAGTGAGAGTAAACAAGCAATATATAGATAAATAAAACACGTAGAGTGTGAGGTGAGAATGGGGTTGGAATCTTAAATAACAGGGTGGTTAGAGAAGGTCTTTCTGAGATGATGACATCTGAGCAAAGCCCAAATGAAGTGAGGGAGCAAGTCATACAGATATCCAGAGGATCAGCAAGTGAAAAAGACATGTCCTTCCCAAGAAATAGCTAAGAGACTGGTGGAGATGAAAACGGAATGAGAATGAGGTTGGGGGGGAGGGATCATACAGGACTCAGATGGTTTGCTGGAACAGTCTCAGTTAAAGTCTATTGTCCCTTGCATTTTCAAAAGTGTCCTACTTCAGATGATAAATTATACGGTAACTTTATTTTTAGGCCAATGAAAGAGCTTGGGCTTATTTTAAATGAGATGGGAGGCTTGTTGGGTGGTTCAGAGCAAAGGAATTTTTAAATAGCCACTTTAACATCTGTGCTGAGATCAAACTGAAGAGGGGCAAAGGAAGCCAGTTAGAAGGCTACTCCAATAATTCAGGTTAGAGATAATGGTAGCATGAATCAGATGGTGGTGGTAGAGGTAATGAGAAGTGGTTGTGTATCTATTTTAAAGGTAGATCCAACAAAATATTATGACAGATTAGATGTAGGGTGTGAGGGAAAATGAAGGGTAAGGAAAGAATGACTAAAGTTTCTGGCCTGCAGAACTGAGGGGATGGAGCTGCCATTTGTTGAAATGGGAAAGACTCGGTAAGACCAGGTTTGAGGGAGTAATGAAGTTCAGAAATTTAGTTTTGGACATTTAAAAGATTTGAAATGTCTAGTAGATATCCAGTAAGAGGTCAAGATGTTATACGTATAAGACGGAACTTGAGGAGAAAGCTAGGCTAGAGATAGAGAGTTGGGAGTTGTCTGCATAGAGGTCTTTAAAGCCATGAGACAGGATAAGATCACCAAGGGAGTGAAAGAAGAGAAGAGATCCAAGGGCTAAGCCTGAGGAACTCCAATTTTTAGACCTTGGAGAAATGAGAAGAAATCAGCCACAGAGTAGGAATAGGAGTGCTAGTACGGGAGAAAAACAAGGAGAGTGTGGTTTACTAGAAGATAAGTAAAGGAAGACGGAGTGATCGACTATGTCAAGCACTGCTAATAGGCCAAGTAGGAAAAGGGCTAAGAAATGCTCACTGGATTTAGCAGTGTGAGGTACTGGTGATCTTGATAAGAGAAATTTTGGTGCAGTGACCTGATTGGAGAGGGTTCAAAACAGGATGGAAGAACCAAAAGGAAAGAAAGAAAAGGAGAGAGGGAATGGAAGAAGAGTTGGAATTTGGGGCTGCCAATAAAACTGACACTCCTTAGAAAGGAGTAGAGGGAACTATAGAGTATTAGCCCAAAATTCTGTATGCAGTTTCCTCTCTGGGCATTACCAAATCCTCAGCTGTGCACAGGGAAGGTAAGACTCCTAGTAGCCAAGTGGAAATCATTAGATGGGTGACTAAAAAACTGGGCAAAGACTTCAGTATCTCATAGTGCTACGGACAGAGAGGAGGTAGGAATTCAAGACTAGTCAAAGTGTGTTGTTCCAGACTATCAGCTGAAACCCCAGAAAGGCTACTCCTAAGGAGTCATAACATAAGAGTAAGAGCCAGGTGCAAGAAGTAAGGACTACTTCCTGGGAGTAGAGTTTCTGCCACAGGTATAAGGACTGCACATTAGGAGTAAGAGAAAAATATCAGCTTTAGCAAAACTGGATCAAGATGATCTATGAGGAAAAAAAATCAAATGTTCTTTTTAAGGAAGGAAATGTTTCCAGAGCCTGACATTCAATAAAAAAGTACTAGGTAAGCAAAGTAACAGGAACAAATGTCTGAAAATCAAAAGAAAAAAATACAGATAACAGAAAGACACCCAGATGAATTTATCAGATAGGACATTTAAAGTAGCTGTGATTATTATATTCAAGACAATAAATGAAAAGTTGGAGAATGTTACAGATAACTGGAACCTATAAAATAAAATCAAATGGCAATTCTAGAACTGAGAAAGGTAATAAGTGATATTCAGAATTCAATACATGGTTTACATAGCAGATTCAACACAAAAGATTAATGAATGAGAAGATGGCACAGCAGGAAAAAATTCAGATTAAGTCAGAGAGAGCAAAAATAATGGGAAATGGTGGGGGTGCAAAATGGAGTGCCTGGGTATCTCAGTCCATTAGGCAGCCGACTCTTGATTTTGGCTCAGATCATGATCTCAGGGTTCTGGGATTGAGCCCCACCATGGGCTGAGCATGAAGCCTGCTTAAGATTCTCTCTCTCCCTCTGCCTCTCCCCCTGCTCATGCTCTATCTCTAAAAATAAATAACTAAATTAAAAAAAAAAGCAAAACACAAAACCATAATAAACATGGTAAATAGTGAAAAAGCCTAATATACATGTAACTTTAACTGTAACACAAGGAAAGGAGAGAAGAGGATGAGATTATAATATTTAAAGAAATACTGGCTGAGAACTTTTCAGAAACTGACAAAAGACATTAAGGCCACAGATTTAAGAAGCTTCACAGACCCCAAGCCAGATAAATAAAGAAAAACCTAGGAAAATCATAGCAAAATTGCTGAAAAACCAAAGACAGAAAAAAAAAAAAAGTCCTAGCAACCAGAGAATAACATACTACCTTAAAAAACAACAAGCAGTAATTGAAGCCAGAAGCCAATGGAATTCAATCTTTAAAATAAGTGCTGAAAGAAAATAACTGCCACCCAAGAATTCTATATTCAGTGAAAATGTGCTTCAAAATGAAGGTGCAATAAAGATATTTTAAGAGTGGGCCCTAGGGAGTCCTGCAGGCCAGCTGCTGGCTAATAAAGTGGACAGCTGTCCTCAAAAAAAAAAAAAAAGATGTTTTAAGAAAAACAAAAATTGAGAGGATTTATCACCAGCAGACCTACACTAAATGAAATATTGAAAACGAGATTCCAGTGGAATAAGGTTGTAAGAAGGAAAGAGCCATGAAACAGATAAATCTAGAATAATATTAAATACAATAATATCATGTGGGTTTCAAGTTATATATAGAACTTAAAAATATATATCCACAATAGCACAAAATATGAGAAAGAGGTAAATGGAGCTAAAGTGTTAGAAGTTTCTTTCATTGCCCAGGATATAGTAAAATAAGAAAGACTGTAATCAGTCAAAGGTGCATGTTATAGTTTCTGGCATAAGCAGAGGAGAAAAAGGAATGAAGAAATGATGGAACATAGAGAAAACTGAAAAATCAGTAATTACATTAAATGTAAAGAGATTAAATTCTTCAGTGAAAAGACAAAGATTGCCGGATAGAACTAGAGTGCATAATGCTAAGCAAAATAAATCAGTCAGAGAAAGACAAATACCATATGATTTCACTCACATGTGGAATTTAAGAAACAAAACAGATGAACATAGGGGAAGGGAAGGAAAAATAAAATAAGATAAAAACAGAGAGGGAGGCAAACCATAAGACACTCTTAACAATAGGGAACAAACTGAGGGTTGCTAGAGGGGAGGTGGGTGAGGGAATGGGGTAAATGGGTGATGGGCATTAAGGGGGGCACTTGTAATGAGCACTGGGTGTTATAATATGTAAGTGATGAATCACTAAATTCTACCCCTGAAACTAATACTATACTATATGTTAACTAACAATTTAAATAAAATCTTGGAAGAAAAAAAAAGACAAAGATTGCCACACTGTATAAAAACATAAAGCTAACTATATATTTCATTTTTTAAAAAAGATATTATTTATTTGAGAGAGAGAGAGAGAACATAAGCAGTGGGGAGAGGAAGAAGCAGGCTCCCCACTGAACTGGGAGCCTGATGCGGGGCTCAATCCCAGGACTCTGGGACCATGACCCATGATGAAGGCAGACACCCAATGGACTGAGCCACCCAGGCACCCCTATAAAGCTAACTATATATTTCTTATAAAATATATACAATAATTATAAAGATGGACAAAGGTTGAAAGGATGCAAAAGATATATGTTTTTTAAACATTAACTAGAAGAAAGTTTGTGTGGCTGTATTAATAACAGATAAGTATATTTTAAGGCAAAAGATATTATGAGATTAAAAAAAGTATATTTCCTAATTATCAAAGGGCCAATTTAACGGGAAGGTAAAGATACTAGATTTGTATGGACTAATAACATAATCTCAGGATATTTGCAGTGGATATTGTGGGTGCTCTGTCCTGTTCTGCTTAGTGGGCCAGTGTACCTATCCCTTAGCTGTTGTGAGAATTGGCTATTAATGGCTTACAGCTACCCCTTCTTCAAAGTGTGCCCTTGGCTGAATAAGAACTGTATCACACCACATCCTGGGTGGTAGTAAGGGTCCACAGCACACGACTGGCTGACAGTGGGGTACAAAAAGGTAATTTTCTTACCTAAAGATGAGACTAACTTTGTGATGCAATTTGTGTTCTAGAGCTCCCCATGGGATCAGACTGAAACTGGACTCCAAATGAATCCACTTTTCCTCACTACTTAATTCTGGTTCCTTCACCTCCTTTCTCCTAAGAGCACTCTGACTTAATCACGTGAAGAAGAAGAATTGTTTCAGGTTCTGCTTTTAGAGAACCTGACAAAACTATAAAAATGGGCTTCTAGAGTGGGATTACTCAATGAATGAATGGAACTGAAGGGTCCATCACTGGTGGCAGAGTGAATATTGTTAGTCCTATGCATGTTATAGCAGTGCAATTGCTAAGACTTATGGTGAACTGAGGCAGAGTATAAGTGGAAGGTGACTGTAGTGGTCATGAGAATGGACTGCTCAGATCTCCTTCGGGAGAGCCTGCTGAAACGGACTTGACTGACAGCCATAACTGCTGCCCCTCTGGATCCACCATCATGTTCCTACTAAGGCCATGCTTCCCCCAGGCTGCTCCTAGTACGACTGAGCATGGCAATAGTACTAGTGCTGGCCTGTTCCTGCCTGACAGGGTACTCCTCTAGTGGGTGACTGGCTGAGGAACTCCCCCTCATCCTGACCAAAACTCTCCTAAAACTGTGCTGCAGTCTGAGGCTCTTCCTACACAATCCTCCTTCCTTTTCTCTCCCTTTATGGTGCCAGACCTGCATTAGGGCCTAATGGTTTTCTCTGCCTCCTCTTGCTCCCTTCCCTTTATCTTTCACTATATTTCCTCCAGCAAATCTCTTGTACATCTAATCCCATCTTGGTGGCTGCTTCCCGAACTGTCCCAGGGACGCACTAGCCAGGACAATGTTGCCGGTATTTGGGAAGTATGCAGAAATAATAACGGAAGGGACAGTGGGATTGGGGTGGCTGTTGCTATGCTCCATTTATAGTTGAAGAGATAAAAGGACAGGCTCAAATATATTAATCATTAATTTAAAGCAAAGTAATAAAGTCAGACAACCTTCTTAGGGGCTTCAAAGAAACCCTCATTTCCTATGGCTGAAGGGCAGAGGAAGCTGAAAACCAGGCACACAACTTAATTGTTAGCAGGGCAAAACTTCAGAGAAGGCTGTATATATTCTATGACAAAGTCAGGGCTCTAAAAAAGGGTACTACTGAGTCCGGGATGGAATACCTGCATGAACTCACTTGAGAACCTTGGACTGCCCTAGATTATGTTATATCCTCTGGTCAGTGGCAGATAGCTTAGCTTGTTGGTCAGGAGCCTGGGAGAATTAGGCACCAGGATCGGAAGACTAGGGACATGGAGGTCTGGGGAAGAGGCATGCAGATAGACCTACGGGAGAAACACACTAAGTGTGAAGATCTTTTCTCTTTTCATCATATGCTAATGGCCACTAGGAATGTCCAAAGCAGAAGAGAGCACTAAACAATCAAGTGGAAAGGATGCTTTGGCCAGTAGATGTCAGGTACCCTCTGTCATTGGCCACCCAGTGCTTGGACAATGGGCTTATGAACAGAATGGTTATGCTGGCAAAGATGGAGGCTAAGCAAGGGCCAAATAGCATGGGCTCTCTCTTGCCATTGGCCATCTAGCTACTCCCACTGCCAAATGTCTGACCTGGCAACAATAGAGAGACCAACCCTGAGCTCTAGATATGGAATCATACCTTGAGGAAACCAATCATCTTTCTGCCTTGAAAAGGGCAACATTTCATCCTGACCTGGACTGACCCAGATTCTGGGTAAGTATTTGCTTTTCTTGCCCACAGTGCTTCAACCAGCATCACTATCCAAAGGCTCGGAGTATCTGGTCTACTGATATGGAATTCCGTATAATATCACTCAGACCATGGGATTACTTTATGGCAAAGGAGATATGGTGGTGGACACATGACCATTGGATTCAGTCACCGTACTACATATCACAACATCCAGGAAGCTATTACCCTGATAGACTGGTAGAAGGGCCTTATGAAGGTACAACTAAGGTACAGCTTAGAGTTGATGGTCTGTGAGGATGAGTTCTATTCTTCAGGATGGATGGAGTGTACATTTTAAACCAATGCCCACCATTTGGTGCTGTGTTGCACACAGAAAGAATCCATGGGTCTTGGAACTACGGAATAAAAGTATGAGTGTCACCACTCACTAGGATGCCCACTTATCCACTTAGGGAATTATGTTTCCCTTCTGGACACCTTTAGGCTTTATAGGTGTAGATGTTCTGGTTTCCAGAGTGGGCATGCTTTCACCAGAAAGCACATTAAAAGGCCTTTAAACTTAATGCTCTGGCTACCATCTTGTCACTTGGGCTTCTGATGCCTGTAGACCATCAGGCAAAGAAAAGAGTTATTATACTGACAGGACATCATTATGCTATACAAATGCTGCTATATAATAAGGGCAGATAGGAATATATTTGGCACTCAGGTGATCCATTAGGGCATATCTTGGTACTCCTATGCCGGGTTTTAACAATAAATGAGTACAGCAACCACAGCCTGCTAAGGTCACAGTTCCTAGAGTCCCACACCTTTTAAGATGAGTGACTGGGTCATCCCACCAAGAAAGTCACTTAGACCAGTGAAGGTGCTAGCCAAACATGAGGGAAATCTAGAATGGTAAAAGAAGAAGATGTTGAGTATTACTATGCCCTTGGGACCAAATGCAGCAATGAGAGTTTTCATTTGTCCTATTAACCCTCCTCCTACAAATTTTCCTAGAAATTATGACCAACCAGAATCCTGTAGAAGCTATACCTAAATGGAGTAAATTTAACATGAGAAACAGGTAGATCCCAGCATTACAAGGGGTGAATTGTAATGGATGTTGTTGGTGTCTCACTCAGATATCATCTGCAACCTGCCATGACAGTTGTTGATTGCTAAAGGTTCACAGTTGCCCCCTTCTCCAGAGAATGCCCTCCCATTGGGCTAGGAGGTTATATCCTGCCACCAGCCACTGACTGACTGATATGGGAGTAAAAAGGCCAGCCCCTTTGCCTCATGATGGAATCAACTTCACACTGCAATCTGAGCTCCAAAGTTCCTCACAGAATCAAAATGAAGCTGTCTAATCAGGACTATATCCTTGCTTGGCTCTTTTCTGCTGTCCTATCTGCTTCCCTTCACTCCCCTTCTTCTGAAGGCACTCCCTCCCTCAATAAATCACTTGTAGAAAGTATTCCCTCTCAGGCTCTGCTCCAAGGAACCCAACTTAAGAAAAAATGTAAAGAAAAAACTGATGGAACTAAAAAAAGAAGCAGACAAAGCAATAACCATAGAAATTTTAACACACCTCTCTTAGTAACTATGGAACAAGCAGACAAAAATCTCAATAGGAATATGGAAGATTTGAAATCATGGTTAACACAGTTGACTGAATTGACATATAGAGAACACCATCCCCAGGAATGGCAGAATACACATTCTTCTCAACTGTATGGGGACAATTACCAAAAGAGACCATTTGCTGGACCATAATGTAATAGTCAACAAATTTCAAAGGACTAAGATTACACAGAATGTTCTCTGGTCACAATGGAAATAAGGGAGAAGTCAATAACAGAAAGGTAACCAGAAAATGTTTGGTTTTAAGCAACATTTAGTTTTAAGCAATAATCCATAGATCAAAGAAATCATAATGGAAATTGGAAAATATTTTTGAAGTGAACAATAACATAATCACTACTTATCAATTTTGAAAGTAGTGCCATTATGCACAGTAAATTTTCTATCTGAAGTTCCCTAGATGCAAACAATATTCAACAGCATGAGACACAAAGTTCATATTGCCAACTAACCATGACTGGTTGAAACTTCATTCACATCCACCATATTAATGCTAGCTGGTAAACCAACATCCTGATGAAATAATTTCCCCGTGGGTGAAAGGAACAAAAATCCAAATCAAGAAAATTCTGAGGAACTGGTGTCCATAATGAGAGATTTTGCTGTTAGAGGGACTACTCTGGGCTTAACTCTTTTCTGACAACTAAGGCACAAACACATAAGGAATAAGCTTGCAGGCAAACTTCCATACGGTATCTTTCCTAGATATTTCTTTCCAGAGCTCCGGAAATAGTTGCTTAGAAATTTCTGCCCAGCAGGCCACGATAAATAAATATTTTATAGTCATTCTCTTGGTATGATAATTTTTCTCATATTAACTAGCTAATCAAAGAAAAACCTACTTGGAATTCAACTTGTATTAATTATCCCAAAGTCAGCACACGTGAAAAAGTTAGTGTTTACCGCTACATTAAAAACTAAATGAATCAGGGTGCGCCTGGGTGGCTCAGTTTGTTAAGCATCTGACTCTTGGTTTCGGCTCAGGTCAAGATCTCAGGGTCATGAGATCAAGCCCCACATCAGGATCGGTGCTCAGCACAGAGTCTGCTTGAGGGTCTCTCCCTCTCCCTCTGCCCCACCCCTGCTCACACACATGTGCACTCTCTCTCTCTAAAATAAAATAAATAAAATCTTTAAAATAAGTAAAAAATAAGTAAGTTTATATGATATCTCTGTAATTAATCAGAAAACATTAATAATTTTATGGTGTTTTCTAAAAACAATGACCTCAGTATACAGCTATAACCCATAAACCTCCTGGCATTTATATTTCTAGCACAGCAAGATAATATTGTATTACCAGTTGATGTTGAATATTTTCATGACGTTGCTTAAGAAGTTCTTCTGTCCTCTGCAAGAGACCGAATTCAGCTTTAAATTCAGCTATTATTTGATGCTTCTTTTTGAAAACTGTACTCTTGCTTCGAAGTTTACTGACATATCGTTTGAACTATAAAAGAATACAGCATATAACCTCATGAGTAGAAAAGTCATTGCTAAACATATATAACCTCATTGTATTAGAAAAATTTTATTGTCTCCTGTCCAACATGGGTATCACAAGTATATAATAATTACTTAGTTTCATTAGAAAACTTGGAAAGACTGCTTAATTAAAATATTTTGTGTAGATTTTAGTTTTTGGACCCATCTAAATATTGTAAATCCTTATATAAAAGCTATTTGTTTTGGGCTTTACAAATAAGGATTTAAAAAACCAGAAACTCAATCCTATAAAAGTAAAAAGGTTAAAAAAGAAGGAGGAGAAGAAGAAGAAGGAGGAGGAGGAGAAGAAGAAGAAAAAGTAGGAAACCCACTCTGGCTGAGATCTTATCATATCTCTTGCATATTGTACTATTATGGTAGCAGTGCATCTACTGAGATTAATATAGCCAACCAGAATAGTTAACACTTGCAGCTACTATTTATCATTTAAGAAATGTACTCTGACCATATACACTAAGAAGCATCTGAGACATTGGGATGAAACTCATCCCAAACCTTAAAAAGCTAAGAATATTCCAATTTAGTGGAAGCTTGCAGTTGCTTAATTCAGCTATTTACCTACTAATGATATAAAGTTATAACTACTCTAATGGAAAGACCCCACTATTAAGTAATATTAACCATAGTTTGGAAAAGCAAATGAAATGAATAGGAATTAAAGTAATTCATTTGATAAACAGTACTTACTAACTACTATGTACTAGGCACTATGCCAGACATGGAGAATAACACTCTAAACAAGATACTCAGAAGTCCTGCCCTCACCAAGCTTAAGGAAATAATGGCAAAAACAAACACTGAACTGAGGTTTACAACCACGGTGAGCATTATGAAGAAGTAAAGTGGTCCTGAGAAAAAATAATAAAAGAGTTTAGTCTGGGTTGGGATGAAGGCAAGAAAAGTGGGTCTTGGGATTTAGGGGATGTGGATTATGGCAAGCTTCTCAAAATAATTACATTTAAGCCAAGACTGAAGAAGTAAGAGTGTGTTGGAGGAAGGAGGAAGAGGCAAAGAAGAACATTCCAGGTAGAGGAAACAGAAGGTGTAAAGATCCTGGCTCATTAAAAGTATTGCTTGATATAAGAAGCAAATGCCAGAAGCAAATGTGAGAAATTTCTGGTATTTATGAAACAGAACATAATACTTAAAAAAAAAAATCCTTCCTCGTATGTACCGTTATACTAATAATTTTCAGATTTTTTTTACTATGTAAAATAATTTTTCTTCCTACTCTATCCTTTTATTAACTACATTATAAAGAAAATTTCCAAGTAAGAATTTGGCCTGTTATATTTAAGCACATCACTTCAAAACAAGTTTCCATTTTACCTAATACAAGGTAATTCTTTTTTTTTGGAAATTTTTATTTTATTTTTTTAAAGATTTTAAAAATTTATTTTAGTGACAGAAGCATGAGCAGAGGGAGGATAAAAGGAGGGAGAGGGAGAGAGAATCTCAAGCAGACTCTGTGCTGAGCATGGAGCCTGACGTGGGGCTTGATCTCCTGACCCCAAAATCATGACCTGAGCCAAAATCAAGAGTCAGATGTTTAACCGACTGAGCCACCCAGGCGCCCCATTACTTTTATTATTTATAAAATTATTTATAACGCTTCTCAAGTTAGCCTTTAAAAGGATTGGGTATTAAAAAGGCTAAGATTCTCAAAGAATTACCTTGTAGGGGAGTCTGGGTGTCTCCACAGATTAAGCATCCCAACTCCTGATTCTGACTTACCTTATGATCTTGGGGTCATGAGATCGTGCGCCATGACAGGCTCTGCACCAGGCGTGGAGCCTGCTTAATATTATCTCTCTCACTACCCCCTGCCTCTCCCCCCTCTAAATAATAATAGTAATAGTAATTAACATATTACTGAAATTTTGGAAAACAGAAAAAGGAAAAATTCACTTGAAGCCACTATTCCAATGTAAGTTCTACTACCATGTTGCTATTTTCCCTCCTAGTTTTTAAGGCTAAACATAAGGGCAATAATTCTAAATTGTGAGGTAGTAAAATAGGAAGCACAGCATTTCTAAAATGTAAGTGATTTTTTTCCTTATTTGGAAATCCAATCAATTTCCAAATTGACTGATTTTTCAGTATACAAATAAAGTCCTCAACAATAGTAAGATTAAAAATTTTTCACATAAAAATAACCATCTAATTCCTAGTTTAGAAATCTTTTAAAACTTGACTTAAACTTTGAAAGAAATGAAGTACCCACTGTGTTTTAGAAGAAGGAAGTTCAAAATATTTTTCTCTCCATGATTAAGTTAGTTTTAATAGTAAGGAATCCAGCCCCCACACAGCAAATTATCAATGGCTGGATTATAGGAATGGTTTAAAAATTTAAGTCATACCAATGTACCCAGAGTCCAATAACTTGCAATTTTTCCTTTTAAAGAATAAATGTGTAAGTCTGACATAACCACAGACTCAGAATCCCTAGAGTAACTATATGTTCTATTAAAAGTGTCCTGGGCAAAGTGCCCAAAATGAAATCAGCCCTGTTCATCTGCTATCGTCTGTATTATCTAGGCCAATTTTTCTCTTCTTTATCATGCTGTGCTCCAGAATTATTTTTAAAAGCTAAAAGCTATAAATATTTTTGGTAGAAGAACAAACCCACCAATTACTCAATATGCTCTATGCTAATTGGTTATTATTTGACATTCACAGGGCAAACTACCTAAGGGAAGGGTAGTCAGGGCCAGATTAATGATGGTTATGTACAATTAAGCAATAGGTGGCCATCAAAGCAGTCTAAGGGATCTACTACCCTGGATGAATTAGAGGACAGAAAACACATTATCAATGTTTTTCATCCATTGGAAGTTTCTTCTCACTATCATTTGGATTTCAAATAATTTCTGAATTTTCAAATTGTTACAAAAAACCATGATGAATATATTGAAGCTAAAACTTCAGAAACATTCTTAACAATTGCTATAGGACATACTTCCAGAAATGGTCAGAAGGAAATAAGGTTTTGATATATTTTGTCAAACTGCCCTTCAAAGGCTATTTATAGTGCCCTTAATAATTGTCAACTTGATAATTAAAATAGTATTTTACTTTTTATTTGCATTTCTTTATTAAGGAAATTAAATTTTTTTGTCATGTTCATTATTCATCTAGGGGAATTTTTTTTAATGATTTGCCTTTGGCCCATTTTTTTATTGGAGTTTTCATTTTTCCTGTGGATCTGTAACAGTGATTCTCAAACTTTTTGGTCTCAGGAACCCTTTATGTATTTTTAAAATTATTAAAGCTCTCAAAGGGATTGTGTGTATGTAGACTGCTGCTGTGGCAAACTTGAGGGAAAAGAATACAATTTCAATTAATGGACCCCTTACTTCATAAAATATAAAAATCAGTTCCAACTGGATTACAGACTTAAATGTGAAAGATAAAATAAACATCTTTTAGGATATAAGAAAATATCACCATACTTTTGAGATAGGAAAGGATTTATTAAACAAGACGCAAAAGCACAAACTGAAAGTAGATGATCAATAAACTTAACTTGGCTAAAATCAAGAATTTTTGTTCATCAAAATATATATTAAAAGATTAGGAATATAAGTCACAAATTGGGAGAGCATATTGGTAACACATTAAACCAACAAACGATTTGTATCCAACATATATAAATTAAACCTATAAATCAATAAATGAAAGACAAATAATCCAATAGAAAAATGGATAAGATACTTGAATAGTCACTTCGCAGAAGAGAAATCCAAGATGAACAATAAACATATTAAAAGATGCTCAACCTCATTAGTAATCAGTAATACAAACTAAAACCATAGTAAGATACTATTTTAACATCCACCCAAATAGCAAAAAGAAGTCCTTCAATACTAAGTGTTGGTGAAGATATGGAAAAAGTGGAATACCTGTATACCACAGGAAATGGAGGATTTATAATTTAGAACAACAGTTTGGAAAACACTTCATATCTACTTCAGTTGACACTGTGTTCAGCCTATGCCCCACCAACTCCACTCCAATAAATAGCAGGGCTTCTCAAACTTACCTACGGTGATGGAGCAATTTTAAAAATTTCTAATCATTTGTAGATACTTAAATAAAACAATAAAAATATTTAGGAAACATCACATTACTATAAATGTTTCTAAATGCTTCTGTTCAACTTATATGGTCATGGATTAGTAACTAACAGTTTATGGGCTAAAACAGGACTTCAGACAACTCTTTGGATAGAACTGCTCTAGAGCAGAGCTTCACAAATGCAGTATGCTCCAGTGTGCTCATGTGGCACAAATATTAAGTGTATGCCAAGATATTAATCCACTAAGACTTTGCAGCAGTTGGGCAAGATATTATAAAGAACTCCCAAGCCAGTCACCCTCAGCTATATGCAGCCTTGTCCTTTTACCTCAGTATGCTAAACAATGATCAATTTTTTAAAGTGTCATTGTGAAAAAAGTTAAACACTGCTCTGGAGAAATTCTGTTCATAGTCACATACATAAGAATGTTGACAGAAACACTGCAATAGCAAAAAACTGGAAAACAAACCACAACAAATTGTTGTATATTCAACTACATATATACAGTGAAAGTAAACAATTTTAAGTTCAAGAAATAATGTACAGCAAAACAAGCAACTTATAGAATATACAGAGTATGCTTCCATTAGTATTGCTTAGGAAAACTAAACAATATAGTTCAGGGACACAAATGTGTGGTCAAACAGCAAATAAGAGTCAGAAAACGCCAAATACCTAACTTAAGATGGTGGTTACCTCTTAGAGGGGTGGAAATCAAATAGGATAAAGGAGAGGCACACAGAGAACCTCAAAGTTTCTTTTTTTAAGCTGAGTGCTAAGTATATGTTCATGATCTCATTGTTCTTTACTCTTCACATATGATACACACACACACACACACACACACACACACAAACACATTGTCA